AGTACCTGAGGACAACCTGGCTTCCACACACTTGTGAAAGCATGTCTTCACACACAAACATACACTTAGCATGTATACACATATGCATACAAAGGAAAACAAATGATATTCCAGGCAATTGCATTCAGACTGCAACATGCATTCAATAATTTAATGTCTTTTACATGGAAATCGTAAGAAATTTTAATACAGTGGCTACAGAATTATAGCAAATGTCCCTCTCTGTGCTGCTTTTATGCCTTACATGCTAGCCATCTCAGCTTCTGAGGGAGATCAGAATCTTCATTTTGCCTGTGGGGAACCTGAGGATGACTGTGGTATATGGCTTCCCAAAGATAGAATCTTTTTCCTGTTCTTGCTGCTCTTCCCCTAGATTGGTGTGGAGGTGGCACTATGAGTGAGCAGGAACGTGTCAGAAAACTCAAGCTAGTTCCCCCCTCAATCCTCAGTTTGTAGGCAGAATTTTCCATCCTTGGAACGTGGAGAGGGACAGCTCTTTGCATTTTGTTCTCGGTTGCGCCATAGCGTTGTCTGTGTTAGGAACTACGGGCCTGGCTTCCTCGAATTTAAGCATAGGACCATCTACTCATCAAAGACATATTTTCTCGTTTTGAAAAAAAAAGCAGGGTCCATGACATGACTCAGTTGGTAAAGGTGCCTGACCAAGCCTAATGACTCAAGTTTGGTCACTGAGCCCTCACATGGTGGATGGAGAGAACCTACTTCAACAGATGGTCCTCTGATCTCCATGTGCACACCCTAGCACACATTCATGCCTCTCTCCCCAATCAACCAATAAATAAATGCTATTTGAAAAAGAAAAAAAATAGCATCAAACAAGGACCTACTATAACCAAAGCATGAGAAGAGCTTTGCAAGCCCACTGCTTTGTAGAAGCTGTCAGTATCAAGCTATTGTTGCCCTGCACACTGTGTGAATGTTTAGCATTTCTTGGTAGCAGAGACAAAGGCTGTTTGGCAGTCACTTGTCATCCTCTCGGGTATGCATTCATCCATTTGACACAAGTTGTGTGGAAAGCGGCACAGGAAAGTGTAAGAAAAATGCTTTCCTCTTGTCTTGATGATAGAATGCGCTTCTTACTTGTGGTAGCCTGTGTAGTAACTTTTCATTTCTCCTGGCAGCTTTTAAAGACTTATTTGACTTTGGGGAACCTGCAGTATATCTTTAAGGTACAGTTCAAAAGTATGAGGCAAGGTTGCTCATTTTCAATTTTGGCTGAGAAGTCTTAACTTTGACGGTGACACTTCAAAGTTAGAGAAAACTTGGTTTTAAAAAATGGATGCTGATATGTGATGGCATATTTAATGACAGCAATATCTATGGAAAGCTGTTAAGATGCAGATTATCCCTCCTGGGGTGGGGGAGAGAGATCAAACTGCCAATCTATAAAATATACTGGCTAGAAGAAGGCATGGGATCTATCTTTGCGAGTGCTTTGATTGCAGGGGACAGTGCAGCAGCGTGTGGCATCATAACCAAGAGCAGACAAATCAGCTTGATGACTTTCAAAGGCAGGAATACCGCTGCAGGCAAGGGTACTCCAGAGCAGGAGAAATTAAAACATATAGAGACTGTTATTAATTTCATATCTATTTTTGTATAGTCAAATCTGTATGCAAATCCTTAGCATCTCATTTTAGCAGATTAATCTAAAGTGAAGAGTGGAATGTGAAGGGAATGTAATGATGAAACTCTTTGGAATAAATGTGGGCTGAAAACTTGGATGCTTCCTGTAAAAATTTTTTTGTACTGCGAAGAAATGGATTTGTTTATATGCTCATTTGTAAATTACTTCGAAAGGAAAAGCAATAGAGGCAGTTCCCCGGTTTCGCTTTGCAATCCTGACTTGGAAAAGTTACAGCCCTAGTTCGTCAGGCACCTCCTGTGTCTTCGCATCCTAGAGGTAATCATGCAGATAACTAGCTGGGACTTTCATTTTTTATTCCCAACTAGTGATCCAATATCTCATTTCTAAACAGTTTCATGTGAGTGAAAATTTTTGTGTGATGCTAAGACGCCTAATTATTGAGTGCAGACTAATAAAATCATGTTGAAATGCATCTGTGGTAGTGGATAAACAACGCTTCTGCACAATAATTCTGAAGAGCGTGGTGATCAGTTGTGTACCCCATGTAGCTGAGCAGGTGTGGTAGCCACATTGTAGTTCACCGATGGTACATTTAGTCTGTGATAGGCAGACTCTGATATACATAGTACTACAGACGTATCCAATAGTCACAAAGTAGGGAGTTTACTGCAGTAGATCTTAATTCTGATCCGTACAAGTGGAGATGCTTTACTTTGGAAGCCCACTCCACACAGGGGGATACTCTCTCAGCATAGACACAAGGGCCAGGGTCTAGGCCCTGCTCCAAATGATATGACAGACGTTGAAGATTCTCCATGGAAGGCCTCACCCTCCCTGGGGAGCAGAAAGGATATGGGATAGGGGACCAGTGGGGACCAGGAGAGGAGGAGAGGGAGAGGGAACTGGGATTGACATGTAAAACAAGCTTGTTAAAAAAAAAAGAACCAGGCATTGGTCAGGCATGCCTTTAATCTCAGCACTCGGGAGGCAGAGGCATGTGGATCTCTGTGAGTTCGAGGTCAGCCTGGTCTGCAGAGCAAGTTCTAGGACAGTCTCCAAAACAATACAGAGAAACCCTGTCTCAAAAGAGAGAGAAAGAGAGAGAGAGAGAGAGACAGAGACAGAGACAGAGACAGAGACAGAGACAGAGACAGAGAGACAGAGAGAGAGACAAAGGCAGAGAGACAGAGAGGCAGACAGAGAGAGAGACAGAGAGAGAGAGAGAGGGAGCTTGATTTCCTGCTTTCTGTCAGTTAGAGAAATGATCAGAGGTGACTTGGACATTAATCTGGTAGGTATGGCCCTAACCACCGGCAATGGTTCTGACCTCGAGCACATGTGTGGTCTCAATGAATTCATTTATTCTTATGTGGTTATGACAAAGGAGAATTTATCAACATTGTTTTCAATCAGAAAGGAAGCAAGGATCAGGAGTAAAAGGGAATTCAGTTCTCTGATTTGATGTACAAGTTGACTCTATGTTGGGATTTCAACTTCATGTTTCTTGAATGTGGTTTCTTTTCCTTTGACTCCATTTTAGAAATAAGACATCCAATAAATATAGAGAAAGCTTTCGTCAAGAACAGGGATCTCCACCTCTCTGTTTCTGGGAGGGTGATGCTGTTGTTGATTGTAAAAGTGGTGTATTATTTTGTACAACTAATATGTATTTTAAAAGATGAATGAAGGCTACATAATTTTTTAAAAAAGGTAACTATCCAGTTAACACTAGCCACCATTCATTGAGGATCCATCCCTTTTGCCATGCTTAGGGAAATGATTGACCTGGATTGATGACAGTCTCTTATGTATCTAGTAGTGTTGGTATTAACTGATTGTCCTTTAATCCCATGGATTCTGGTTCACTTAATTCTTGGTGACAGAGTTGATGTTAGAGACCTACTCCACACATTTGGACTGTCAAAACAAAAAACAAATTGCTAGGTGACATAAGATAGTTAAAGACAACGGAGATGAGCATTGAGAATCGGTTCTGTGGAAACACAGATTCAACAAATGGAGGACTTTAGAGGATTTGGCAGATTTGGCAAGCGCATGCAGCTTCCTCAGTTTGCAACCTTTTCCCCTGTAATTAGGCCATTGGCATTTGCTGTTGGTGTCTGTCAAAACTAGACTCTGTTCTCCTAGGAACTGAGGACAAGGGCATCATTTTCCTCGATGATATTTCAAAGAGATCTAGGTTCTTAAAAAAGATATTCTTGTTTCCTAAAAGTGGCAAGTGTCTTAAAATAAGTGACATTTCAAAGAGTCAGAGAAAGTCATTACAACTGTACCTAACCTAAAGTAAATGATTTTTAAGAATAAAGTGGAGGTCCTAGCATCTGAAAGCAGCTGAAGTTAAGAAAATGCTAAAGCCTAGCCGGGCGGTGGTGGCGCACGCCTTTAATCCCAGCACTCGGGAGGCAGAGGCAGGCGGATCTCTGTGAGTTCGAGGCTGGGCTGGACCGATAGCCTCCAAAACAATACAGAGAAACCCTGTCTCGAAAAACCAAAAAAAAAAAAAAAAAGAAAAGAAAATGCTAAAGCCTGTATGGTCAGTCTTACAGCTATCTGTGTCTTCTGAATTAGAAAAACCCCACAGGTTTCCAGCCAATCCAATTGTGAATCCATATTTAAGAACCATGTCTTTCTGATTCTTATTAAGAAAACCCTTTTACACTAGTACCTGGAACTACCTCTGGGTGGTATTTAGAAAGATAGGATTTGAGTCCTCATGGTCCTGTTATCACATGGCTTAGAAATATCTCACTTTTTGTTTATGTGCTGCTGCTTAAGAGGTTTCCTGAGTAATCATAAGACTTATACTAGAATGAAAAATTTACAGTACAAACATTAAAGAAGCATGTAAGAGCTGAGTGTCCCTTGTCCCCAGTGCTTGCAACTATAAGGGTTGGGCCACATTCAGATTTCTAGATTTCCAGGTAGTTGTATATTTAGGATCAGATGTCTTAGGGATGCCAACCATTTCTAAACATAAAATTCATTTAACCTTATACACAGAATCTGAAGATAACTTCATACCAATTTTTGGTGGTCCTGTCTTTTTACTGTGGCATCTCACCTGAGGCCACATGTGAGATTTTCTACTTGTATTATCGAGGGCGGATAGCTTTGTGGGGTTCACTCCTACATAGATTCCAGGGAGTTTCTACTGCATCAGGTTTCCACATCACTCCTCATGCCCCCAATTCCCGCCATCTCTCCCCACACTCTCCTTCCATCCCCCACACCCTATAATAAATTTCTTAATTATGTCATGATTTCACTTTGATAGCATACAAAGATGCTCAGTGGTAGCTAATTGTCCTCTAATCTCTAATATAGTTCATACTTACTTTGGAAAGTTCTAACGTGTGCTGCTCCATTACAGGTGGAGTAACTAACACGGCACAGTATCAGAACAGACTGATGGTTTATGAACCCAACCAGGTAAGAACTTGATAAGAAGTTATCACCTTAATTAAGATGCACTTATGAAAGCTTTCCATGGGAAGGATTAATTGGAATGCCACCCAAATGCACCTTAAGATCCATTGGGAAAAGAAAGTATCTAGGGGAATGCCTTTGATTTCTCATTATTTCTGCAGAAGTTCACTTCCTGTAGTTTCATGCTATATGTAATGACACAGAGCGTTGCATTCTGTAGAGAAGATTTTGATTATAGGTATGTTCTTCTGGAATGGATGTCATTTTGGGCAAGGAACATAGCAATGGCCTTGTTATTCTCAAATCAAATAAAGTCATTTGACTCCCATAGTCAACTGTGTTCTAGAATAGTACCCAGGACAAGCACAAATTAAAAGTGTCTAAAAGAGTCTGGGAGTGGTGTGCCTCTAACAGATGGGCCCTTTCTGTGCAATTCTGGTGCACACTTAATTCCTTCTCCCCTAAAATGAGACATGCTTTTATTCTCTTTTCCTACTACCAAATTATCTTCAAATGGGCAAAATATTATAAAATTTGCCATTTCCATGTCTTAGATATCTAAGCATTTCTTGATTGTGACAGTATCCCAAAATGGTGTGACACGGAGGTTTAATATCCACCAGATAGCAATATCTGGTTATGAAACAACAGGTTGACTTCGGTAGGCTGCCTCTGGTTAGGTACCACAACAAGCATGTGCATAGTGTCCCCCGAGTTTCTGCTGTGTTTTTAACAATGGCTTGACTGAGGAAGGCCTTTCTCTTTTTACAAGCGCGTCTCCTGATATTATGAGAAGTTGTAGATTGCAGAGACTGAATGCTCACGGGTCAGCTGTCTCAGGAGGGATCACTAATTGCAGAAGCCTGAGTTTGGTGCACACATGGTTAAGGAGGAAGACGGCATTAGCATTGCTTAAATGAGTTCCCTTTCATGTTTGTACACACATGCTCTTTTTTAAAAATTCTGCCGGCATATTGTTTACGGTGGGTACTGGCAAACATCACATCTGCTTGCATCTTGCTCGGAATCTCAATAACTCTATCATTCAGCCCTGGTGCTTATTTCTCTTCTAGGCCTTTGTGGAGAGTCGATAATGCCTGCCATCTGCCACAGAGCACATCGCTACCTGCCAACAGGCAGGCTGGGGTGACCTCTGCTTCTCCACCACTGATTAGTATTCACACGCCAGCTTATTAGGAATGCCCCCACCAGGCCTCTCTGCTTCTTTGCCTTTGCAGCGGGTAGCGGCTCACCTGGAAGGCACTGCAGTGAAGGAAGCTAAGGATATAATCAGGGGATGTAGGCAGGCTCTGCAAACCAGATGGCATCTACAGTCTTGTGGCAGGGGACTGGACTGCTAATGCAAACACTGATTCCTAATACTGTAATAGGTTATTGAATAGACAGCACCCAAGATAAGCATCGTCAGAATTTTAAAATTCACCCAAGCATAATGCACTAAAGATATTTCTTAGCAAAATGTCCAAAATCTAGCTTTGGCTGTGCATTAAAGACTGTATTTGATGGAGGAGATTGTTCAGAGGGACCAGACCGTATAAGCCTCTCAAACAAAACAACTTCTTTTTTCTGCAGTTTATCCCGAGAAATTAGAAATGAGCAAATATATGCTTATAGTGATAGATGTCACAGTATGTGCCTGTGGTGATTAGATGTCACAGTGTGTGCCTGTGGTGATTAGATGTCACAGTGTGTCTGTAGTGAGTAGATGTCACAGTGTGTGTCTGTAGTGAGTAGATGTCACAGTGTGTGCCTGTGGTGAGTAGATGTCACAGTGTGTGTCTGTAGTGAGTAGATGTCACAGTGTGTGTCTGTCGTGAATAGATATCACAGTGTGTGTCTGTTGTGAATAGATGTCACAGTGTGTGTCTGTAGTGAGTAGATGTCACAGTGTGTGCCTGTGGTGAGTAGATGTCACAGTGTGTGTCTGTCGTGAATAGATGTCACAGTGTGTTCTGTAGTGAGTAGATGTCACAGTGTGTGCCTGTGGTGATTAGATGTCACAGTGTGTCTGTAGTGAGTAGATGTCACAGTGTGTTCTGTAGTGAGTAGATGTCACAGTGTGTGCCTGTGGTGAGTAGATGTCACAGTGTGTGTCTGTCGTGAATAGATGTCACAGTGTGTGTCTGTCGTGAATAGATGTCACAGTGTGTGTCTATAGTGAGTAGATGTCACAGTGTGTGTCTGTCGTGAATAGATGTCACAGTGTGTGTCTGTCGTGAATAGATGTCACAGTGTGTGTCTGTCGTGAATAGATGTCACAGTGTGTGTCTATAGTGAGTAGATATCACAGTGTGTCTGTAGTGATTAGATATCACAGTGTCTGTCGTGAATAGATGTCACAGTGTGTGCCTATAGTGAATAGATGTCACAGTGTGTGTGCCTGTAGTGACAAGTGCCTATAGTCTATATGCCAATGTTTATACATGCATGTTTGTGCTTGTAGTCTGCTTTTTCTTTACAGCTTTGTGAACTGGTGAAATTCTGTGCATGCAAAACATCATATGATTTTTCTGGTCCAAATCCAATTTTGTCTTGGCAAAAAGGAAATGAGGTTCTTCCTATATGCTGAGTGTCTTTGAGAAAGGAAGTGGTTAGGTTTATTTATTGATCTGTTGGGTGGCGTACTTGTCTGTCAATTGGTTAGTTGGGATTTAAATGTAAAGCCATGGTTGCTTTTCAGATAATTTTAAAATTTGTATTGCATTTTAGATAGGAATCTTATGTTAAGAGGGGCTGATCTTAGAATTCCTATTATTGAGGATGATCTAGAGCCAAACATGAAAGATGTCTCCATTCCTTAATATGATCATGTAAAGCTTGCCCTCCTACCAATATAAGTAAATATATCTAGACCTAGCTATCCTATTAGGAAAAGACATCATTTTAAGTGTGTGAAAGTGTGAGAGGGCTTAGATACAAAGGAAACAGTTTGTTGCTGAGCCAAATCTTAGCTTGTCTTCTGATCTCAGGTTAATTTTGGAAAGAATGGGAAAGTTACCTTCACCCTAACTTATGTGGGACCCTGATTACTCAATGCTTATATGCTACCCTCCCCCACTTTTTATTGAGACACGATCTCACTATGTAGTTCTGTCTGTCCTGAAATTCAGTATGTATGTAGACCAGGTTGGCTTTGAACTCACAGAGATCTGCCTGCATCTACCTCCTGAGTGCTGGAATTAAAAGCGTGCACCTTTAATGTCCTCAAACTCTGTATTTTTAAAACAGTGAGCATGTACTAGACATGCGAGGCATTTTCTAAATCATAGCTGAATGTCCTGCAGGTTTCATTATCCCCTCCCCGTTGTGTAGATGAGGAGGTGGGGAGGGTGGGGTGGCCAGTGGATTTCTTAAGACTGCACATGAATTTTTACTTATATAGTCTCAATTGAGATAGCTTTGATTATTATACCATCTTCCACACTGTACCTGGCCATGTGCTTAAACTTAAGGAATTTCTATGAGCTAAGTATCATGAAATTTTAAAATTGCATTATAAAATGCAAGATGCCTGTTAAAATGCAAACCTACTGAAAATTATAGGATTATGTAATTCTTTCTTGTTTTCATGTGTGAAACCCATACCTTTCACCACATAAATACTATGCAAATAAGATGTGGTAGACATTAGTATTGTTAGGGCTCATGAGGCACCACACTGCCTTTGTTATTTGTGAGGTCTTTTGAACCCAAGCGTACCTGAATGTTCGTTGTTTTGTTTTGTTTTTCAGAATAAGTGGATAAGCCGTAGCCCCATGCTACAGAGAAGGGTCTACCACTCCATGGCTGCTGTCCAGAGGAAGCTTTATGTTCTTGGAGGCAATGACCTAGACTACAATAACGACCGGATTCTTGTGCGCCATATAGATTCTTACAACATTGACACTGACCAGTGGACACGCTGTAATTTCAACTTGCTGACTGGCAAGTATCTCTGGTTAAGCAATTTAAAAACAAAAATAGGGCCTGGAGAGATGACCAGATGGTTAAGAATACTGTAGGACCCAGGTTTGATACCCAGTACCCTGGTAGCAGCTCAGAACTGGCTATAATTCAAGTCCCAGGGGATCTTAAGCCCCCCCTTTCCCCCCAAGGGTACCAGGAACACACGTAGTAAGTACACAGCTATACACACAGACAAAAACCACATAAAAAATAAAATGAAAAATAGAATAGAGATTCAAAACATCCCCAGATTTGTTTCTTGGACATCCAGAGTACATCTTTAAATATTATGTGAACAGTGGATCATGCAAACTCTTTCTTTCACCCAGGAAGACATGCATGATTTATTGCTACAGATGGGGATCCTTAAGATGACTGGAAATCTAGTTTCTATTTTGCCTTTGTGTGTGTTCTCAAATGACCAAGAGAAGTTTATTAACTCACTTTCTGTCAATTGATATTCATGTGAGAACTTTGATACATGTAGCAGGGGAAAGGGTTAATAGGGTTTTCCCCCCTTTTTAAAAGTCAGGGTCTCATGTACATCAGAAAGGCTTCAGAGAACTTCTGATCCTCCCCCCTCCACCTCCCTTTTACTTGGGTTTCATCTGTCCTCCCATGTCCAGTTGTATGTAGTGCTGGGAACAGAACCTAAAGTTTCATGTATGCTAGGCAAGCACTCTCCCAACTAAGCCGTATCCCCAGCCCCAACAAGTTCAGCTTCTCAATACCTTGTCCTCTTTTGTCTCTTGGGAGATCAGGCGGTCATTATTTGTCACTGCTGTATTTTGTGTCTGTGTGAAGTCTAGAAATTAGACTTTAGAACAGCTTTGTGTCTTAGAGCCTTCCCGGCCACACATCCCCCCTGTGCATCTCTGCAGAGCAATCGAAGCCTACTCATCGCAGAAAGGGATGGAATGAGTGTAGTAATCGCACACTTACCCTGATGTCCTAGATGGAGCTGGAAATTGGCTCTCTGGTCAACTCCTATGACTAACATCCACCAATGGCAGCATCCCTTCCAGGGATGCTTTAGGTCAGGAAAATCACAAACTGTAAATTGCGGGTTAGAGGAGTTCTTGAAGACATTTAACATGCAGAGTGGGCATTCAGCCACTCACAGATGCTGCTGGGAGGCCACGCCGGGAACACAACAAGGGATTTAGAGGCTTTGTATCAAGCTCCCCCCTTCTAATGAAATGATTTGTAGGCCTATTGTAAGTTCTGATCTCTCAGGTAGAGTGGCATCTTAGATCCTAGATCCCTGGATCTGTGATTCTGCCTCCGACTTATTTATTACTCCAGTCAATCCTGTGTCAGCTCATCAATAAAAAAGAGGCTCTCACTCTCTGCTTGCCTGCAGGGAAGGATGTGTGGTAGTGAGTTATCCTGTCTTCCTGCTTGAGAGGGGAGGGGAACCCTTTCATCGTTTTGGCCTGTCAGTATCTAGGGACTGTGCAGGCTGCTCTCATTGAGGGAACTTCTATAATCTTAAAACCGTTAACTGTGTAAAGAAGAAGGCTCGCAGCTCCCTCTGCTTTCATCTGCTGTTGTTTGTCTTCCTTTGACACATGGGGTGAGGGCATGGCTGCCACACCTTAGGGTGCAGTTGTTACCTTTTTTTAAAGTTAAGCACTTGTCTATATTTGTCAGCACAAGTGCTATACGGCACACAATGGATGTTTTACATATCTAAAATATCCCTAATTTCCACTGCCATAAACGAACGGCATATAGAATAATGGTTCTACATAACTTACTCTTACTGTATGTAGTGCTACATTTTGTAAGGTGTTGGTTAAGAGATATTTTGGCCTGGTCCTAACTAAACACAGGTTCACTCTTTGAGAAATAGCGGCTAATTCATTTTAGTTCTGGAGACAGTTATTAATTGCTGCAAAATTCCTGCGGTGTATACAAATATGCCACAGGGGAAAATGGTATCCCTCAGTGGCAAAAGGGTTAATTAAAACATGTAAGAAATGGATTTTTTTCTTTTTATTCAATTCTCTTTACTTTAGGCCAGAATGAATCTGGAGTTGCTGTCCACAATGGGAGAATATATTTAGTTGGTGGATATTCAATTTGGACAAATGAGCCTCTGGCTTGTATCCAGGTGAGTGGTTGAAGTTCCTTTTGAAGTTTATGCAAGCGGTTCAGCGAGGTTATGTTTTGCAATTCGTCTGCAGAAGGAGATATTTAATGTACAGGAAGAGGCTCAAGGACCCTCTCTTTGTGTAGAGTTCCAGCCTGTATCCAGTATCCTAGAAATGATGCCTACCAAATGGTCATCAAAATCTTTTAAAATACTAAGATGGGAGCAAACTTTAAAACATCTGTAAAATATTCCAGAAATAAAGAAATTTGGATTGCTTACCCCTTTTTTTAATACTTAAAAAGAAACGAAACTTTGGCCATATCCACTTTGCACTCTGGTTGTTTTAAAAATGTCCCATCTTCATGCATTTTGTATATTACATTTTCTTTTCAGAACTGTCACCTGCAGAGGCATTCTTCCTTCCTGGCAGAGGTTTCTAGTAATGGTAGTCTATGGATAGTGTGAAGGGACAGTTTCCAACCCAAAGAATAGCCCGAGCATTTCACAAGTGAACCAGGCCCCTGGCCTTGGCAAGATGCCAGCTAGGTGTCTCAGAGCAGATACAGTTTGTTGTTATAAGTAGCTCCTACTGTTCTTGGTAATTCTTGCCCGTTTTCTTTTCCACGTGTTGTCTGGTAAAATTTTGACATGTCTTAGCCTTGACTTATCTAACATATCTGTGTGTGTGTGTGTGTGTGTGTGTGTGTGTGTGTGCGCGTGTGTGTGTTGTAGTAGTAGCAGTAGTAGTAGTAATAGTAGTAGTAGCAGCAGCTTTGGAGCCTGTCCTGGCACTTGATCTATAAACCAGGCTGGCTTCAAACTCGCAGAGATCCGCCTGCCTCTGCATCTGGGATTAAAGGTGTACACTACCACCCCCTGGCACAATTCATATTTTTAACCTAATCTTTGTGGGAAGACTTTTGAAGACTGTTTTAGTATTTGTAATAGTTGCAGAATGATTCTAGCGTCGCCATCATCATTATTACTAACACTATTATTTTGAGACAGTATACAGTTTCACTCTACAGCACTGGCTTGCCTACTCATTACATAGACCAGGGTGGCCTCAAACTCTAAAGATCTGCCTGTCGGCCACCAGAGTGCTGGGATTAAAGGTGTGCAGCACCATACCTGGCAAATCCAACTTTTTATTTTTCAGTTATAGCTCAAAGGGGATATTCCCCTGCATCTCATCCATGTTGTCTGCTTCCAAGATTGCTAATGTCTACTTGCTTATCATGTTAGTTATAGCTTTCCTTTATTTTCATGTTGTCATTCATCTGTTCTCCTCTTGGTTTGTCTCACCACAGCTTTTCCTGGGGATCTTACATATTTCTGTTATTCAGAGATCACATAGATATGAAAATTGTATTTGCCATCTTTGGTTGAATAGACTCGAGCTTTACATTGAATAGCTAGAATTCATTTTTCTTAGCACTCAGGCTATGTTCATAAAACTCAGTCATGCTTTACATAAAGTTCAGGGGGGGAGAGCTAAAAAAATTATTTTATGGACTGCTAATACAGTGAAAGTAAATTGGACTTAACAAAATTCAAACTTCAAACTCTCCATAACTGTAAATAATGAAACATACTGCCATATAAATGGCCTGAAAGTCATAGTGAAACAAAGAGCCTCAGAGGGTTATAATAACGCAAGCAGTATGTAGCAGAATGTGGGACAAATATGGCTTAACAAGCTAGGAAATGAATTTTATATAAACCCAAAGTAGAAGATAATAAAGAGAACACGGTAAAAACTAGTAAACAATAACACAGTAGAAAAATGCGAGTCCCCAAATCACGTGGACATAACCAACAAGTATCGCCTTCTCCTGAGGAGTGGCTCGTCTTTACCCAGGCACATTTTTGTCAGTTTTCAGCCCTTTGGGTTTCCTTTCCCACTTTTCAGAACTGAGAAGCATTGAATTGGGCAGCAGTGTTCCACGGTGCCAGACTGCTATTTTGTAAGTGGCCTACAAGACTTCATTAGATTACTTTTACAGTGGGGTTAAGTTTGCAATTTCATTCAGCTGCAAAAGTCAAGACGTAGTCATGAGTATATTGCTACTAACATTAATGTTGGATTGGTTCTATGAATAAGAGATAAAACTCTAAGAGAAAAATAAGAAGCACTTCCAACATGTCAGTTTTAGGAGAGCAGAATGTGGTCATACTTCACAACTTTTTCAAGTCCTCTGTTTTGGCAAGTTAATGTGTAAGACAGAACATTTTGAAAACAAAACAAGGAAACACTTCATAGTGACATAATTTGTCTTTATCCCCAAGCAGTTTTTTCTGAATTGACTCACTTACCTTGTACACTAAACTTTTCAAAACTTTTTATTTATTTGCATGCACGAGTGTTTTGCATGTTTTGCCTGCTTGTATGGCTTCGTACGACATGCATGCTGTTCCAACAAAGGCCAGAAGAGGGCATCATATCCCCTCTGGGAAGTAAACCTGGGTCTTCTGCAAGAGCAGCAAGTGCTCTGGAAGTCAACATGGAGCCATCTCTCTATCCTGCTTATCCACTGATTCATTATTAGTAATGTCTGGTTATTCCCGTACAAACCTCATTCAAGAAATGATGGTGTGCACGTATATTTTAAGCTACTTACATGACATTCCAAAGTTCCCCCAGTATTAAGGTAATACAAAAAAGAACAGATTTTTAAAAGTTTTAATAAGTGCTTGTGTTAATGGAATACATTTTACTTTTAAGATTATGTAATGAAATAGATTAGCACATGCCTTAAAAAAATACAGGCCATTCTGTATTTCAGTAGCCATACTGATAAACAGAATCTAGTCTCTGGGCAACTCTATCCCTGTGGCTAGCATACTATTTCTACAAAGTATTAGAAAATTTTGAGAAAAAGTTTTCTCTTTCTTTAATGTCTTTTTACATTTACATACGTATGTTGGAGGCACATTCACCTGGCAGCCATGGTATACATGGGGAGGTCAGATGACAACCTGCAGAGTTGATTCTCATTTACCATGTGGGTTGTTGTGTGTGGGTGTGGTGTGGATGTGCATGCGTATACATGTTCCCATGTGTATAGGCACATGTATGTATGGGTACACTTGCATGTGTGAAGTATGGAGGTCTATAGTTGCCCACAGGCGTCTCCCTCCATTGTATTTGACTTTCTTTATTGAGACATGGTCTCTCACTAAGCTTGGCACTCCAATTATGACTACTCTAGCTAGCAAACCAGCATGCCGGTGGATCCCATCTCTGCCTTCCAAGTGCGGAAATTACAGCTGGCTTCACACCAGTCTGAATTTAACATGGGTCTTCGTGTTTGCAGGGTAAGCCCTTTATCTACTGAGCCATGTCTCCAGCCCAATAGACTGTTTTAAGAACCCCCTCACAATTAATAGATGTGTCCATATCAGTTTATCACTTCGATGTTTTTAAACAAAGTCTTCACAGATAATAGCATTTTAAAAGATTTATTTTTAAACTGTGTGCATTGTGCATGTGTATATATGTATGCATGTATATTTGCCTCTGAGCATGTGGGTGCATATGTTCCCAGAAGCTAGAGGCATTGATCCATTTGAATCTGGAATTACAGATAGGAGTTCCCCAATATGAATGCTGGGAACTGAACTCTGGTCTTCTGCAAGGGCAATGTGCACTCTTAACCTCTGAGTCATCTCTCCAGCCCCCATGATAGCTTTCTCTATCCTGTATCTTGCATTCCAGCTATTGGCAACTAATTGCTGAGTACCTTCTCATCTTAACTAAGGCTCAAATATTTCTGCTTTGCTGCTGACTGCAGATATGTTTATTTTCATGTATCAGCTAAGTGTTTAAAAGCAGGCCACTCCCCTAGCATTATTAGTACCTTCTGGAAGAATAATAACCTATAGAAAGGAAGACAATAGCAGACAGGAATGGTGACCGTGAGAAAATGTTGGTTAAACACTTTAAGTTCCTAATTATAGAACATGTTGAAAATTACAGAGTGGTGGTGACAATCCTCTACTCTAAAACTATCAAAGTTTAAATTTTTGTCACAAGCCACAATAACTCATAATCAAAGATGAATTTATAAACCAGTAGTCTAATAGCAGGACTGATTTACTGAAGATTATAGTTAAATAGTTCAGAGATTCTCTCATTAATACTCAGAAGTATTTTTTTTCTTTAAAAATACCAGTCAATACTCTTGTCTCGGCAGACTGTCCTCTGACCTCTAATCCAGGTTCATTTAGCAGTCATTTGTGGGGGTCACCCACCTGAGGTGACCCACCTGAGAAGCCATTTCAACTACTACCAAGTTAGAATATGCTATTCTGTTCACTATAAGGACAGTGCAGACGGAGGGAAGCTGAGATGCTTATGATAAATCTGTCTAAATATTCATGTGGAGAAGCCGGAGTAATACAATCACTGGATATAGACCCTGCAAAATACAAAAGAGAAGGCCTCTTATTAATTTTGTGGGCATGGGGGTGGGTGTCTGGCATGCCGCCTGACTCTGATCTGGTGTACCTGGGGTGACTAGTACATATGGGCAGCTGTGAGGAGGCAGGTGATTCGTCTGTTTCCAGATTATTCTACTGTTGTCCTCCTTTACTCTCACTTCCTTGTGGCTGGAGGATATGCTGCCAATCTGGCACCGCCGTCTCCCACATGTCTTCTTTCTGCCGGTTTACAGGGGCGTGCTTTGGAGAGAATCTGCCAAAAAGCTTTCTTTCTCCTTTCCAGATTAAATACATTACATCTGCTTAACACACGCAGTCGCTGTTGGCCCTGGGAACCACCAGAAGCTCTCAGGGTGATTACCTCACTGTCATTTTCACTTCTAAAAATGTATTCATTTGGGGAAAAGCACTAAGTCCTTCCTCTTCTGAGCTACATCCCTGGATGAAAATACTGGCTAGCACGTACAACCAAGTTACCTTGAGAAAAAAATTCCCTTAATTTTTTTGTTTTCTTCTCTGTAAATTGAAGGCAGTACTTAACCTTGTATGGTTTTGATAAATACTTGGCAAGAAGGAACTGAACCGTAAAGGGAATGAGCCATTCAAGAACAGCACAGGCATTATTCAGGAAAAGGCCTACAGAGGGGGCTCTAGAGTAGGAACCAGAGCCAGCAACCCACTTCCAGGCTGGGCTACTTGTAGGGAACAAAAGGGAAAGAGGACTGAAATGGTTCCACATTCAGCCCCTGGTGGCTTATAGGAGATTAGGGGACTAATACATCTCTGGTAGCCAGCTATTTCTGGGGATCCGGTAGGTCAGGGAGTGCTAGAATCTAAACAAATGATTTTACTTAATGAATTGTCATTGTTTAACCCAAATGGTAGAATGTCACAAAACCACATGGCTATAGTTAACATTTCAGAGATAGGCAAAAAGGGAGGCATAGTTGTTGCTCGTGGCTACTCATTGCTGGACAAGGGCCTCACCGAGCAGAGGCTTTTGAGGCAGTCTTTGGTATCAGAAACTTTGGAGGATGCTGTTGCCATGTCTTTTGATGGTGTCCTTGGTAGAGGAGTTCAGTTTCTTGTATACAAACTAGACTAGGAAACTAAGAAGGCAGGGCCCAAAGACTATCAGGGAGAGGAATGAGGCAGCCAGCATCCCGGTGTGGGTACTGTCCCCTAGAGTTTGAATGTCAGCAGAGCTCAGATGATTCTCAGGCTTGGGGATAGTTAGCTGTATTTCAGACAACTCCAGACTGGTTTATATAGAAGTAGCACTCTTCCCAGAGGAAGAAAGGTTCCTCCTTTCTTGGCAATAAGGAGATTCAGAATTCTGCAGTTTTAGGGGACACCCACAAATGAGTCTATTTGGTTTAACAGGGTTGTAATTGTTGCTCACATCTCCTATTTCCAAGGAAATGGGAGCAAACATCTACTCACCCCACACAGGGAACCAATGACAGACCAAACTATGGATAACTCCAATGTCAAACTTGGTGAACCAGTTAGTTTTATCAGGGTTACTTACAGGAATGTGGTGAGGGGTTACTTACAGGAACAGAAATGGCCAAAGCCTCCCCAGCATGGGCAACAGCTCCCAAAAGCTGGGAACCTGGAGCTCTCTGCACAGCCTCTACAGGCTGGTGCCTCAGTTGGTCTGCGACTCTTCCAGGCATTTTGGGTGGTGTGTCTCTTTTTTCCAGGCTGCTGGGGTTGAGTCCTAAGCATCTCAGCTTGTGTGAGCATCTCTGAATCTTGGCTTGCCAGACAGCGACTCTCTGCAGTCTTTGACATTTCTATACCTCCCTGAAGTCATTTGGAGTTGATTACTTCCTGTTTTAAAGAGCTTCCCCTTCAGGACGAAAGTGTTTTCACCTCTCACAGAACATCCCATTGTCTCACCTCCATGGATCTATCCTGTCATAAGATATCCTGTTGTTTTACTTCCCTGTTACGTCCTACGAAGTTTCCTTCCAAGATGGAAGGCTTTGCCCCTGGAGGAAAATGCTAGGCAATAGGTGGCTATTTTCATCTAGGCTATCTGAAATCCTTAAAAAGCGGCTGCAAGCAGGCTGGAGGAGGGCATGCCAGCTATGTCTGTATTGATGGCAGAAAAAATAACCAAGTCTTCAAGGAGAGGGAGTAGGTGAGGGGATCCTTCAGGATGAGCAGTTGAAACCAACAAGGGCACTGGAGGCAAAGGGATAGCAATCATGGTTTGGTTATTGGGAAGGAGCTCATACTTTCATATGATCAATTGTCTAAGTCCAGGAGGTAAGTTAGCATTCCAGAGGGTGAGGGGAGAACCCAAGGAGTTGTAGACAGAAGAGGTATGAGAAGGCATTTTGCTTTGCCAAGTTGACACAAGCTACAGTTATCTGAGAAGAGGGAGCCTCCATTGAGAAAACACCTCTGTAGGACTGGCCTGCAGGCAAGCCCATTGAGTATTTTCTTAATTATTGATTGATGTGGGAGAGCCCGGGCTATTCTGGGTGGTTTCACCTCTGGGCTAGTGGTCTGGGTGTACATAAGAAAGCAGGCCAAGCAAGCCATAGGAGCAAGCAAGTTAGCAACAAGCATTCCTCCATGACTAGTGTGCTTCAGTTCCCTGGCCTAATTCTCTCAGTAATGGAGTCTGACCTAAGAGTTGTAAGCTGAAATCAACCTTTCCCTCCCCAGCTTGCTTTTGGTCATGGTGTGTTATCACAGCAGTAGAAACCCTAAGACAGAGATTGTTCCAGGTGCAGAGGGGGGGATGAAGATTAACAAAAGACAAGAACCAGGAAACTGAACCTTTGCTTTTTGAGAAAAACTGATTCTGCTTAGCTGGAGCTGAGGAATGAACACTGATTTAAGAAGAGAGCAGCATCAACACCGTCAAGATGATGTCTTCTGAAGATTTCCTCAGAATCAGCAAACAGAAGCTGAGATCCAGAGTGGGGAGGGGAAGGCTTATCGCATAGCGGCAGCTGAACTGGGTCATGTCTAAAAGTTTCTCAGGTGGAACAGAAGCTGAGGTCCAGAGTGGGGAGGGGAAGGCTTATCGCATAGCGGCAGCTGAACTGGGTCATGTCTAAAAGTTTCTCAGGTGGTATACTGGTTTTGAAGGCATGAAGGGGCCATCGAGAGCAGCTGAGGTTTTGCCTGTGACAGGACAGGATAGGACATTGGCGAAGGTGCAGCCTCAGTTGCAGAAGAATCCCCAGGCCTGGAGGGGTAAGTGACTGGTGAAGCCTAGCACCATGTGGCAGAGTCAGGGTCCCTTAAGAGAGCACAGACGAGGCTACAGCCCAGTTACAGTGGAGACCCCAGCATTTTGGAGATGCTAGTACCATGAGGTGACTGCTAAGGACAGCAGCAGCTGTAGGATGGAGCCAGCCTGGGCCCATAAGACAAGTTGTGTGTACTACAAATATCAGAGCTAGAGAAATGGAGACATTTAGAGCCCAGAAGATTTCAGTCCTAGATGTCGGACATTAAGCTGTTTACACTGCTGGGCTTTGGTCTTGCTATGATTTGAATGTGGCTGCACCCTGGTTCTTCCCTCATGGAGTAAGAAAGTATTCAACTTGTGCTTTGGTTTCACAGGAGCCTAGTTTAGAAGCTTTGGATATTTTAAAGACTTTGAACTGTGAGATTTTTTTTTGAGACGAATTTTTAAAATTCATTTATTTTCGTGCTGATCACAGCCTCTACCTATCCCACATCCTGCTCTCCTAATCCCTCTCCCCCATTCCCTCCCTCATGCCTCCCAATCCCTTCTTCTTCTATCTCCACCCAAGAAAGGGCAGACCTCCTATGAGTATCAATGAAACACAGCATATCAAGGTGCAGAAAGACTAAGTACCTCCCCACGGATTAAGGCTGGGCAAGGCAACCCAATATGAGGAGTAGGATCCCAAAAGTCAGTAAAAGAGTTGGAGATAGTCCTGTTCCCACTGTTAGGAGCCCAAAAGAGGAACAAGCTACAGAACTGTAACATATGTGCCGAGTGTCTAGGTCCGTCTCATGCAGGCTCTCTGGTTGTTGGTTTGGTCTCTGTGAGCCCCTATGAGCCTGAGTTATAGCTGATTATGTGCACCTTCCTGTGGTGTCCTTGACCACTCTGGCTCCTATGCTCCTCTCTCTTTCTCTGCAGGATTCCTGAACTCCACCCAGTGTTTAGCTGTGGGTCTCTGCATCTGCCTCCATCAGTGACTGAATGATGCCTCTCTGATGACAATTGGGCCAGGCACTAATCTGGTCACAGGAGATGGCCAGTTCAGGCTGCTTATCCACTATTGCTAGGAGTCTAAGCTAGAGTCCTCCCCATCGATCCTCCTGTGCCGGGCTTCCACCCAACCCCGAAATGCGCCCTCAACAGGCCCCCTCAACAGCCCCTGTGACCCCCAAACTGATGGCTCATGTTCCCATCCCCATCTGCCCTCAGTTTACTCACAAAATCTCTTTCATTTCCCCTTCCCCTGGAGAATCTGGATGTCCCCGCAGGAACTCTCCTTGTGACCTAGAGACTAAACGTTTAGAGTGTTTGAATTTTTAAAGACTGCAGGACTCTCTAAGTTTGGAATGTGTTTTATATTGAGGATACTGGTTTTAACATGCCATCTGGAGGATTGACAACGAAGTAATATAGTTAAATAGTGCTATGCTTGTATGCCAACTTGAAAAGGGGTCAGTTATTCTGTTTTGTTTCGCTTTTTTTCCGTTAACGTGACACAAGCTACCGTTGTCTTAGACGAGGACTCACAATTGAGAAAATATCTCCGTAAGCCTGGTTTCTAGGCACACCTGTGTGGCATGATTTCTTTTGGTCATACTTTATCACAGCAACAGAAAAGTAACAAATGTGCACAGTGAGAAAAACAGTAATGCCTCCGGGGCTGTCTTTGCTTGTGCATATGGGATTTTCGAGTAACCCCTGCCCTCTTTTGTTGTAGGTATTGGACGTAAGCAGAGAAGGCAAAGAGGAGGTGTTCTATGGACCTACCCTTCCCTTTGCTTCGAATGGGATAGCAGCCTGCTTCCTTCCGGCTCCGTATTTCACATGCCCGAACCTTCAGACTCTTCAGGTGCCTCACCACAGGATCGGCACGATCTGAAAAGCCAGTGCTGTTTGACAGCATCAGCAGGAGCCCAGATGAGAACTTGGCATCTGGGTACAGGGCTGGAACCTCCTCAGTGCTCAGTGCTTCCCCCGTCGTGTTTTACAGGTCTAAACTTGTGATAAATTCTAGCAAAAAAAAAAAAAAAAAAAAAAAGAACAATTTTCTAAAGCTGTCGAGAATTCGTCACTTCTTTTCGGTGTATGTTAACACACAATATGTGTAACTCTTGTTGCGGTGCACCTTACTGCCATCCTACTGGCAGTATTGTTTCGTGGGTCTTTAAAACATCCTTGTGCTGATCAGAGCCGTGCAGGATCACGTGACACTGTTAGTAAGGCACCTTTCACAGGTGCCATCGGTTTTCTCATAACCTTCCTGTACTTTGGCCTTTTATGACTGGAACATCACAGTACCATTTTTCAAAGCTTGCCGTTCCTCAGAAGAGGGTAGGCCGGCCAGCATCATGAGCTCCAAGTGCCATACTTTATTCGAGGTGATAGGAGCAACGGGCTTGGAAAAGTTAGAGTTCCAACCAACCTGGCTTACTGCCACTACTTTTAATAATGCAGTTTCTTTTTGGTCTAGAGTTTTGGGGGTTGCTTTATTTACGACTAAAAATAAAACAAATCATCTTAATAATCATACTTTAGCATAAATGCAACATATTTGTTTTTTCTAATCTTGGCCAAGACTTGAGGTCATTTGTATTAAAAGGCTGTTCAGCCATTTTAGCAGTGCTTATGTCATAGAAATTGTCTCTTCTACTCATGTAACTGCATTTTTTTAAATCATCAGAAGCAAATGGAAAAAGTAACCCTTTTCCTTTTGTTCAAGGTGGCTTCCATTGGCCCTGTAGTGATGGTGGCTTCCAACTCATGATCCTCCCAAATAAAGCCATCTGTTTACATTAGCAAATTCGCCAACTTTAAGCACAGTTGTAAGATACCTAAAGCACTGTTCTAAAAACATGAACGACCTGGTCACTGGGTTAAAGGACAGGGAGTGATAGAAAGGGTGAAGAGGGACATTAACAAACACAACTCCAGATAGCAGCAACAGTCGGTGCAGAGAGGGGGTGCGAACACTTCTAAAACCTGCCTATGCATCTTCAGAAATAAACTTACAAGTTCTGTCAGGAAAGTACGTTCCTGTCCTGCTGAATTCTTGCAACACAGACCCAAATAACAAGTGTTTCAGACTTACTGACCATTTTAGTTGGTATATGAATCTTCTCCCTAGCAGTTTTGCCTTGTGAAACCACTAAATAAATCATGTTGTAATAAATAAGTCAACAAACAAATAGTTAGGTTCCCAGGTCCTATACCCTGAATGAAGGGAAATGGCTTAAAAATGAACTTACCCAACTGAAACACCTTAGACTTTATGTATTCATTTCTAACGATTCAGCATAAACTACCAGTTTCTCCTTGATGGCCTTCATGGTACACTTTTTGCAGAGTGAGTGTGGACATATTCTTCATAATCAAGAACAACATCAAAACTATTATACTGCTTCACTAAAAAGAAAAAGGAACGAGATTGCACAATTGAATCCATTTCCTCGAAATCATCTGCAATGAGGAAAAAAATCTGAGATTATATTTCATGTATATTATAAGCAAATCTCATCCAAAATACTCAACTATATACCTAGGTACTACTCAGTTGTAGCATTGAATAGTAATTTGTCTTCTATTTTTCAATCCTCCAAATTAGAGGCCGTATTTTATTTTCCATATAAGACCAAAAGACTTTGAAGCATTTAAGCATCACTTGAGGATTTTACTTTAAAACATAAAACAAGTTTCAACACCATTCTGTTGTGAAAGGAAAAGCTAGCAAGGACATGGCTCTCCATTTAGAATGGAAGACACCATAAATCCCCCAATCTTTAAAAATACAATGCCACCTCAATTGTAATTATGGCACTTTTCGTACTTTCCTGTGTTGTGGGTTACCCTGCTCAAACACCCCTTGGGGGAGGGGGTGAGAAGAGGCGGCACCAGCCACTCAGGCACTGGGAGTCAGTGAGTAGCAGAGCATGCTGCAGACTCGGTTACTAAGGAAGTTAGACCTGCCTTTATGCCCCCTCCCAAGGTCCCATTGGTCCCATTGGCTCAGGTGGCTGACTCTGCTGTGTTGTCCTTTCCTCACTGGTGTCTCTGGGCCAGGTGTCTCTCCCTGTCAGCAGTCTCTGGGGGTAGAGGCAGGCTTGGCTCAGGGAGGAAGTGCCTGCTGAGCATGGTCATGCAGGCTGACCTGGGCAGCTGCGGCTTGGTGGACTGGCCAGTAGTTTCTCCTATACTCTTGTTTCTTCACGCCTAAAGTATATGTGTAGCATCCCCTTCAGCTACTGCAAAAGTGGAATGGAAACCTTCATTGTCCACAAATTATAAATGCAATAGGAACAAAACAGATACTCTGTCTCCAGGTAACGTGGCTCATCTTTATTTTCATTGTATAATCACTGACAGAATGTAAGCCAAATGCATATGTTAAAATTTATACACCTGTCTTTTACCTTTATCATATGCAAACAACCTATAAACTGCATATAAAATAATATCTATAATACCTAACAAACTGGGTAACTATCCGCACGACACAGTTCTAAGTAAGGCCTGAGTTTGTAGCCCAGTTGGTAGAGTGTGTGTCTGGCTTACAGGAGACTTGGGGTTCCTTTTGCAGTATTGCAGCTGTGGGGCTCATGCTTTGCATCCCACTTTGCTTGGGAAGTGAAAGTCAGAGGATCACAATTCAAGGTCACTCTTGGCTCTCAAGAGACTTCACAGAAGCCAGCCTGAAACAGATTCTGACCCTGTCTTTGACAAACGCATAAATAAAATAATAAAATGGGTCAGTTATAATCATCTGGTACCAAATTAGGTAAGCTCACCATACAGGTGATCACAGTAAAAACACAGCTCTTTTATTTAATCAACATAGAAAAGAATATGCTGTTTTGCTAGAATCCTAGACTGATTGTTTTAACCAAATAAAATACATAGTTTTTACTGGCATTTCACACTCTTGCTTGACTAGGCAATATAGTTGACTCCAAGAAGGTAGATATTTGGTTTTACTCAGTGCAGAATATGTAGGACATAGAAAAAAGCAGATTTCCTCAGGAGTTTCCCAAAATACAGAAACATATCAGTTTTATATAAAATCTTAACTGCCAAAGACCTTGTGAAAACTGAGTGTGGTTATTCTGATGTACAACTGTTAGTCCATCACTCCAGGGGGGGGGGGGCTGAAGCAGGAGGATTTTATGTTTAAGGCTGGCCCAGGTATACATAGCAAGACAATCAAACAAGAAAAGAAACAACAACAAAATCTAACAAGAGAGAAAAAAAAGAGACAGTATTGTGAGAATACATGAAAATAAGTCCACATATTATTTAAAAACAAAATGTCTTAAAAATAGAAAGAGGCTTACCATGCTTGAAGATCTGCATTAGTTCCCTGGGACCCACATGAACAAAGAGAACAGACCCTGCCAAGTTATCCTCTGATTTAATGTATGTACACACACACATACATACGTATAACAACAAAAAAGGTAAAAGAAATCTTAATTTTAAAAGGTGAAGTTAGTGCAGAACACCCTGTAATCCTACCACGGAGGTGCCTAAGGCAAGGGTTTTTCAGTTGAAGTGAGGCCTGAGCTACACAGTGAGCCAGAACTCACCCAGTGAGCACCCATCTCAACAAAACAAAATCACCAAGAAAACAAAAACTACTAAACAAAACCCACCAAACTTGAGGAAAGGCCTGATAGAAGCTACAGGATAATAAACATCAGTCTGAGACATAAAAATACTATTGAAGGCGTGGGTGTAAAGAGTTCACTAGACCCAAGATAAATGATAAATGGGTGTTTTATTAGGGAACAACTTACACAGAAAATAATAAAGAACCTCCGCAGCCTTTTCTTTGCCCTTCTGATCAGATCCAAGACCCAAGAGAGAGAGAGCATGAGAGACCATGCCTCATGCCTTCCTCTTTCTGTGGCAGTCTGCACTTGAAGCCACGCCCAAAGGGGTGTGGCTACTGTTACTGGGTCACAGGCAAGATGAGGCTACATGCTATTTTCTTAAACGCTGAGATAGAGAACCAAGTAAAATAGATCATCCTTCACTTAACGACTGGGAAGTATGCTGAGAAATGCATCCTTAGGCAGATCACTGACACAATGGTTGGTAGTCAGTCACTACTTGTGGCCTCTGAACGCCATCCATATATGTGGCGCTGGTGTCACAAAGCACTGTTTTACAATAATTTTTCCTGAGAACTTTTATTCAGTAAGCATATAGTCTAAAACACTGAGGGGTGGATAAATACAAAAAGCACCAAGTCATCTATCATGGAGTAGTATGTACTGTGCATAGTTGTATGTGCTATAGATAGTTCTGTGTCTGGCAGGGTGGTGGGCTCACCTGTCCCAGTGTTATGACTTGTGCTGACTATATTACACTGTGATATTACAATAGCTATGAACTTAAGGTTAGGGACGTTGTAGATCTGCCATAATCTCATGGGATTACTTTGGTGAGTCCCATCACTGAACTATCATGTACCACTGATTTTACTTAAGAAAACAATGATACAAAAATGTTCAAAATTATGAAATCCTTCCAGTGAAAATGAACTCAATATTTTTTTTTTGCAGATGATTCTCCAGGTTTTTCTTACTCATGGAAACTATCTAGTTAGATGCTAATTAAATTGAAGTTTAAATCGAAACAAAATCTTAATGTCTCATGAAACATTTTCATCACTGCATTGCCCTTCAATCATTTTTTATACCCACCCAATCTGATGCTTTGTAGGCATTTGACTGGAATGCTCACATATCTAGTATGCTCATTTTTCTTCCTGTTTGACTGTTTTAAGTTTCTATAGAGATGGAATTTATTAATTTTCAGCTTCATCAAAAGGGTGACTCACCACACTGGCCAGCTGAATGGGCCTGAGTCTGGAGAAAAAAACTTGAAAGAAACTGTCAGTTTCATGGCTGGCTGAGTTTGTTTTTTACTGCTGTGATGTACACCATGACCAAAAACAACCTGGGAGGGAAAAGGTTTGTTTCAGCTTATAGTTGTAGTCTATTTGGTAAGGGAAAGGCAGGAGCCCAAGGCAAAACTCAAGTAGAGGCCATGGAGTAACACAGTTTACTGACTTGCTCATCTTGCTTTTTTTTTTTTAACACTTTATTATTGTTTACATTCCAATCCTAGTTCCCCCTCCTTCCTCTCCTCCTACTCCCCTCCCCATCTGCTCCATGGAGAGGGTAAGACCTCGCCTAGGAAGTCTAAATCTGTCCCATCATCTAGTTGAGGCAGGACGAAGGCACCTGTCCACCCCCACACCCCTGTGTCTAGGCTGGGCAAGTTATCTCTCCATATAGAATGGGCTCCACTAAGTCAGTTTGTGCATTAGAGTTAGATCTTGGACCCACTGCCAGAGGCCTCATATATTGTCCCAGTCACACCATTGTTACTTATATTAAGGGGGAATAGTTCAGTCTTATGCAGGTTCCCCATTTGTCAGACTTGAGTCAGTGACCTCTCACTAGCTCGGGTCAACTGATTCTGCGGGTTTCCCCATCATGGTCTTGACTCCTTTGTTCATATTATCGCTCCTCCCTCACTTCAATTGTACTCTAGGAGCTTGGCCCATTGGTTAGTTGTGAATTTCTACATCTGCTTGCATCTGTTTTTAGAGCTTCTCTGGGGTTATGGATTATAGGCTGTGTATCTTTTGCTTTATGTCTGGTATCCACTTATGAGTGGATAAATACTATTTTTGTCTTTCTGGTTTTGGGTTACCTCACTTAGGATGTTTTTTTCTAGTTCTGTCCATTTTCTTCTGAATTTTAGGATGTCATTGTTTCTTACCGCTGAGTAGTACTCCACTGTATAAAGATACCATTTTCTTTATCCACTCTTCAGTTGAGAGACATCTAGGCTGTTTCCCGGTTCTGGCTATTACAAATAATGTTGCTATGAACACAGCTGAGCAAATGTCTTTGTGGTGTGAATGTGCCTCTTTAGGTTGTATGCCTAACAGTGGAATTGCAGGGTCTTGAGGTAGGTTGATCCCTAATTTTCTGAGAAATCGTCATACTGATTTCCAGAGGCTGTACAAGATTGCACTCCCACCAGTAATGGAGGAGTGTTCTCTTTTCTCTACATCCTCTCCAGCATAAGCTGTCATTGGTGTTTTTGATCTTAGCCATTCTGATCAGTGTAAGATGCAATCTCAGAGTGGTTTTGATTTGCATTTCCCTGATGACATGAGCAGCTTGTCATGCTGTCCTGGAATTTCAAAGCACTGAATTAAAGAGGTTGAGAAAAACTTACTGCTACACATAAATTTAAGGGACAAGGTGATGAGTCCATGGGATCAGTTCACCACTAAAAGAATGCCCAGACAGCAAGGGATCAGAGCTTACCACTCAGATCAGAGAAAGATAACCCTGAAATTGAGTTAACCCCACTGAATCAGAGTAAAGACCATTACCCAGATTCTTTTACTCAAATTAAGCAAGCTTTGTTTTCTGTCAGACAGGGCTGTCTCCCTAAAGTAAGGATGGGAAAAAAAAAAAGCATTGAACACAGGATAAAATGTGGTTTACATTGGCCCCCAAACTGCATGGCGAGGGGGCTTCCAAGTGTAGGGGATTATTTTTGATTATTTAGGAACTTAATATCAAAATTATTTGGCAGAACATTTTATCAGGTGGAGGTCAGGGAATAGGGTGTGGAATATGTCAAATTCCAGAAAATGGGTCAAGACATGGCCAAATTTGAGTTTTGCAGAAGACAGGAGTGAACTTATTTTGAGTCTGTAAGAATGTTTCTAACACTAAGATAGAGTCAGGCTGGTCCAGCAGATGCTCTCAAGATACAGTGTATATAGAAAAGGAAGCATTCTTGGAGAGGGCACTGAAGAGAAAGGAAGATTCAAATGTCATAGAGGCCAAAGATAATGAAAAACTCTTTGGACACAATAGAAGAATGGCTTCCTTGAGTGGTGGAGGAAGCAGCCTCAAGGAAAACGGACTTAATTACTGTTCTATTCCTGTGAGGAGATAATATTAACAAGGCAACTTTTGAAATGAATCTTTAACTGGGGGCTTCCTTCCAGTTTCAGAAGCTTCATCCATGACCATCCCCACAGGAAATGTGACTGCAAGCAAAATGGGCCTGACATCAGAGCCCATCCACAGTGACACAGTTCCTCCAAAAAATCTACCCCTCCTAGTCCTTCCCAAACAGTTCCATTAGATGGGAACCCAGTGTTCAAACACAGGAAGGAGCCCATGGGGCCATTCTCATTAAGCCTCCACAGGCTTTGGGGAAGCAGGTATCAAGTAAACCTCAGGAATGATGAAGGTATGAGTGTAACACTAAGTGAGGAATTGTCACTGAATATCTTACAGGCGAGGACAGTGAAGAAAAGCACCTAATATGAGACATAAGTCTGTATAAACAAAGCCCCATCCTCAGCAGGGGAAGAAAAGTGTCTTGAAACAAACCTAAATTTGTTAAAATGTGAAACATTTCATGTGTATGGTGTTGCGTTCCCATAGCATCTGTGTGCGAAGACCAGAGGCAGGTGGGCACGTTTTTCAACATAGCTCTCCACCTTCATTTTTGAGTCTCTCATTGTACCTACAGCTACTGAGCTCCAGGGATTCCATCCCATCCCTGTGCACCCCCAACACACACACACACACACACACACACACACACACACACACACACACACACACACACACACCACACACACTTCCTTGTCCCAGGCTACACTCTTACTCAGGGCCCCATGCCTGAGGGATGAGCACTCTACCTGGAGTCACCACTTGTTAGTTTCAAAAACAAATCTGAATTCTTTTTAGCACCTGTGCTTTAAATATGTAACTAAGTAGCAGCTTCTCATGTCCCCCTTCCCCAGGTTTCTGACTCTAAACCACACACTCTAAAACATACTCCATTGCCTTTTCTCTTTGAGGCAGGTTCTCACTCTAGCTCAGACTGGTTGAGAACTAGTGACGACCCTCCCGAACATGCTTCCCCATTTCTGTAATTATAGGCCTGAGCCACTGGTGACACCTTATCTGTAAAATACCTTTGCAAATTACCTTGGGAAAAGGAGACCTCTCTTGGTCTCTCTCTGATATGCCATGTTAATTTATGCTACATTATATTATGACACACACAGCCTCACATAAACCATTCTTGCATTGAGCTATATTACCAAACCCCTTTAAAAGCATTTTTTCAGTTGCCTTAGAGGACTCTTGGGCTGTAAGGATGGCTGAGCTTAAAGCTTAGGTTCACAACCAAGACAAGAAGTCAAAGTGCTTTTTAGCTGCTGAAGCAGACAGTACCCAGTTAGTCACTGTCACTAACACACTGAAAGGACGTCCCTTGCTATGAAGCCATTTGTCGGAGGTAATGACAATTAATTTAGGGAGAAAAGTCACCATTTGCCAATTAGAAAGGTAACACATATTTGGATTTCACAGATTAGAACTGGGAAAGCACTATACAATGCTGACTACATTGTAAAAAACTTTTTATTTTTTTTTAAAGCATTTCTTTTTTGTTTTTACATACTGGGGACCCTGCTGCGTGATGGCCAAGTATTCTACAACTGAGCTACAGCCTCAGTATTTCCTTTGGAGTTAGAAGGATGAAGTGTTTCCCTAAGGGGACGCTAGAACAATAATAATCCACAATTCCCAAAAGGAAACAAATCACTTAAAACATGTAAACAACAAAGCTTTGTGGGTGGGGGAGGGGTACCTTGGAATCCCTTTTATAATTTCTAACTTAAAAAAAAAGCAACATTAAAGGCACACAGTATTGGCTGTTTCTCTGTTGCTGTGGTGAATACCATGAGAAAGGGCAGCTTAAGGAAGAGAGTTTATTTTGGATTATGGTTCCAGAGGGCTGAGCCTGTGAAGGGGAGGCATGGAAGGAGAGCAGGACGCTGAGGAAGCAGGGAACCCTTACTGAGGTGGTGCAAATCTTTAAACCCCAAAGCCCCTTCCAGGGACATACTTTCTCCATCAAGACCACATCTCCTAAACCTCCCAACTGGGGATCAAGTGTTCAAATACATGAGCACCGAGGGGACATTGTCAAACCACCGCACATACTTCTCTTTCAAGTTATGAACACACAGTAACCTGGTCTGTAAAGTAAAACTACTCAGACACTTTTACGTGCACTACCCATCGATTTCTAACCTTGTTTGTCCATGAAGTTAGGAAACCTTCGGGTTACCGAATGCACATCTTTAACTGCAGGACTGGATGTAACTCCTTGTGTTTACTGATGTTCACCACAGAAATGAGTCCTGACCAGGCCCAGAAGGTCAAGCAGTGTGCAACCTCACTGAGACAGAAAACAGAGGAGCCAACGAAGGACAAAGCCCATCAGGTGAAGTGTGCAGCTGTCATAAGATACTAAGTCACAATAACAAGGAGAACTTCTTTCTTTTTAAAGACGTTTATTGGGGGTGTCGAGGGAGCAAAAGGCTGTGTTGGAGCGGGACATGAGAGAGGCAGGCAGACAGACAGACAGACGGACGGAGAGACAGGCAGAGAACACAGAAGAGGAGAAAGAGACCAGACTTCTTTTACTAGTAGTTTTCAAATGCTTCCAGAGTATTAATTATTTCTCTAAAGTGTCTGTATTTCCTCCCCCTTGATAAGCCTTTTAATTCTGGAAGATGAATAGAGAAAGAAAAATGTAGCCATCTACAGAATGTCCTCATAACTTCTGTTGACATCCTTTTAAAACTTTAAAATAAGTGATGGGTTAATCCTCCAATCAGACCCAGTGATGAGTCCTAAGAGTTATGTATAGCTTTATTTACTACAAAGAACTGCTGTAAAGGTTTTACTTGCTAATATTGCTTTGTAACAATGAAAACACACAGCCCATATCCTGATACTCACTTTCCCTTGAACAGTAAAACAGAACAGGCCAGTAAGATAACTTGAGGGGAAAAAAGGAGTATGAACAAAAACACTAATAAAGGTGTGAAAGTTAACAGAACAAACCAACAACTAAACAGGGTACCAGTATGAACAGGGTAAGAAGACTCATTCACAGAAAGCTGTTCTGGTTTGAAAAGTCTTTAATTTAGTTAAAAATCTCTTCAAGATAGAGCAGAGTTTTACAACATTCCAGGATCCTGTTATATAGCTACTAATTAGCTTTCATTCCTTATTTATACACTTTATACACACAGGTAAAAAGGAAATTATTTGTGATACGACATTACACAATTAATTACAGCCCCAGCTGGGGAGGTGCAAAGCAGCTTTCCAGACGTCGCACACATGAAGCTAGTGCAGCGTCACGTTTTGTCAGTTCCCAGTCTCTGCTTCTCATCCTGTCCCACCTGGCCGAGGTGAGACAGAAGTTTGCTATATGCTTCCCTGTTTAAGAAAAAAAAATTCACTTGAGTATTTGTAAATGTCTATTAACCCATCTAGCAGATTTGGTACAACACTTAAATAGTGCTTCATGCATCTACAGAGTAAACTCAGGTGCTAGAATTCATTGAGTCCTTAGTATGACTCATACACACAAAATGAAGAAGGTTAAATTATGTGAGAGCTTATTAACCATCTGAAATAATGTGCACCTATAACAAATGTGCCAAGGCATCCTGCCTAAGGATAATGGAGGCATGATTACAATAGGGAGATGTTTCACCGACAAAAACACGGAACAGTAAGTGTTACGGACAGAACAGAGAGCAGTGCCACACTATCAGCACATGCCCTGTTTCTTCTTTACCTTCTTCTTACTGGAATAGCAGCTTGAAAATGCAATGCTGTTTCTAATATTCTGTACTTGTGGTATTTGAGATTTATTTTTTTCTTTACAGAAAGGAGAAGGTTTATGTGGGTAGAGAAACAGGTAAGTCATGCTAGTCCTGGGGCCTGGCTCCAACAAGGCAAGAAGAGAGGGAAGGCTGAGGCAGGGTCTACAGTGAATAAAATTTATGGTTCATTAACAAAGTACTTGGCATTTGAAATGCCTTAAGAAATATTCTGCCATGACCCTCTTTCATTAGTCTAAATACGGACGGGATTGTGACTCTCTAGAACCAATCCTTTGTGAACATGCATGGCCACAAAAATTAGCACGTTAGCACATGCTGCCCAGTGGTCACTGGGTGGAGTCCACAAGAGACTCCAATCTTTCCATGAAAAGTGCTCGGAAGCTAAGTCAGCAGTGTTTGCAAGAGTATGCCTTTTCATTTACTACACTGCAAAGGTGGACTCTACGAGTTAGCTAACGTCATAATCAATATGGGCTTTACATGACAAGTCACCCGAAGCTCTGAAATCCATCTCTGCTTAAGGACGCTGCTTTGCAAAGATCAGCACCACTGAGGGGTGCAGCTCTGAGGTGGCCATGTCTGCAGGAACATGGAAATGATGGGTGCCCCCTGCAAAGTTACTCTACTGTCCACTCGGGCAGGCATTACACAACTGACAATAGTCAAAGCACCGAAGCATTATTCATCTCAAGAGAAAATACCCTATTTTCCTAAATGGGAAATAAGCCATTGTAATAAAGAGAAAACATTGACTGTATGATACTCACAATAGTACAATTATCAAACATACCTTTGGGCAATATTTTTGCCAAGGCCCCATTTCCGCTCTGAGTCCTCCAGAGACTGAGTGAGAGTAGGAATCAAGTGGATGACAATGTGCTGATTCAGTGTTGCTACTGTCTCGAGGATGCTATACACTTGATAACTGTACTGCATACCATAGTCCTGGATAAACTGCCTGGAAGTCAAACAGGCAGCTTAAGAAAACCAATGTGAGGCAACTTCTTGGGCCAGTTATATAATTATAACCACTTTTAACTTTTGGAGTCGTCTGGCTTGGCCTGGAACTTCCTATGTTCTTGCCTCAGCTACCTACAATGCTGGGAATACAGGCGTGTACCATCATGCCCAGATTGGTGACACTCAGACAGCAGACAAATCATTGGAGGGAGAGCCAGGTGGGAGGAAAAAAAAAATCTAATTTCAAGGGCTTCTCATGGTATTGTCCACTTTAGACTGGAGCTGGAGGAGTGAAGGCCAGCACACAAGATCACGTTTCCTAGTCACTGTTGAGTGCATCATGTGTCTGTGTTAGTCAATACAGCTATCAGGACAGAAAGTTATTCATAACATATTTACATGTTTTAAATGAACAAGGGACACCATGAATAGGAATTCTTTGTAAATAAAAACATATATTTTACCACTAAAATTTCCACACTCCCCAATCAGTATAATAAAAGCCACGTAACTTAGTAAATGATATGTAACAAAGATTCGATGTTTCCTCCCAAGGTTTTGGAATTTTCATGAGCATGTTAGCATACACTGAAAGAAACTGGAAACAGCAGACAAGTGCCAATTATGTGATGAGAGGGAAGACACAACACAGAATAAAAGAAACATTCCTCAAGTCACACACTGAATGGTGGCAAGGTGGGGGTGTGTGAAGTGAAAGCACGTTGGGAAGACCCCGAGAAAAAGGTGGCACAAGAAACTGCCCTATAAGACTCTACAAGGACAAAGCGGAGCGGGGGAGTGTGGCTGGGCGCATCTTCTACTCTACAGAGTCCATGTTTCCCAACCAAGTGCCCCAAAGCTTCAGTGTTGAAAGCCCAGGGTCAAGTTGAGCATCCTGAAGGCAGATCTAAGCAAATTTCCAAAGTCTGTACACCTGTTTTCAGGACTTACGCCTCTCACTTTTTCTTCTTAACCACATTCAAGATTCTTTCTCAATTAAGACACAATTAATTTCAAGTCAGCTAACTTACTCTTCCTTGGCACTTTTATTTTTCAATAAAGCAACACAATGTAACAAAACCACTGCCCCAAACACTATAATTGAAACACTGTAAACAAGTAGTAACACATTATGTTTTGGATAATTAGTTATTTAAAAGGCATGTTGGCTGTCAAATGGCTGGCAACCCTCTCCTTGCCAGTTGGCATGTTTTCCAGTTACCTCAACAGAGAAGTCAGCTGGGTGGCAAGTTCTCCTTCTGACCCCACTTGGCAGGTTTTTATCATGCATTGCAGGTTCTCTGTGGCCAGCTTTTTAACTAGGAGGAAATGATAGCATTACACAGTGAGTCTGAACTGACCATCTGGATCCTTATTTCTCACACACTTGATTTAGAAAAATACGGTGTTTTTTTTCAAGTACGCACATGCTTTTTGTAAGTTTTCAAAATGAAATAGTTATGAGTTTGTTTTGTTCTAAAGAATACCTAAGAAGTTTAAAAATCTATTGAATCTCAAAGCTGAGCTACTACATATGAAGATACATTTTGCCTTCAGAAAGGTGTCCATATTCAAAATCCATTCCACTCTAATATTACAAACAGACAAGAGATCCTTTTTAAAGACATGGATTTGTAAACAGGTATATTGATTTTAAATTCATAGGCACATACCTTCCACCCCTTATAAATCTTTAAGCAGCAAATCAGACCAATCAATGATGTTCCTTTGCTTAAAACTAGCCAAATATTTGTATTAATTATTTGTTTAACCAAATTCTTAAGGCAGCACGTTTGCAGATGCAGTACCAAAGCACTGCTGTGACTTGGTTTTTAAATGTGCCGCAGGCTCCTGTGTTACGTGCTGGGTTGCCAGCCCAGGATGCTATGGAGGAGGGCGTGCCTCTTCCTCCACGGCTCCCACTGCCGCAGGCCAGCAGTTTCTGCCTGCAGGTGTTCCCACCGTGATCATCAGCTCAGCACAAACTTATGTCGGGGAAGTGGGGAGGTCAACTGATCGTGTAACGAAGCTTATGAAACGGAGGCAAGCAAGCTGCTTGCACTTTCAGCTGGTTTGTTAAGGTAATGTGAAGCTGACCAGCACGGACCTGCACAACGCATGTGGAAAACTTAGCATGATCCTGACGCTGTGTGACTCTTGTTTGGGACCCACTAAATGCAGTGTCTGGAAACTGAGTAATCACATTCGTTTTAAACTAACACCTTGACTGTCTCAGTTTACATGACTCATACGGTGCAGGGATTCTTAGTATTGTCAGAGCTGTGCAGGTATAATCAACACTATCACCTGCTTTGCCATAGGTAAGGGAGCTTATCTGCTTCTGCCTTAGATACAAGTTTTCTGAGAGCTGGTGGAATCCAATCAGGATAAAGCTACTCAGAATGGTATACAATGAAAACTTATGAACTATAACTTCTAGAATTTCCCATTTAGAGTTGTTGACCTGCTCTAATAATTAAACCATGGCTACATGACAACTCCATGCTCTGGGTGAGGAAATCTGGAATCTGGAACGATGAAATGCAAGGCTTTCTCTGCGCTTCAACATGTGCAAGTGTAACAAGGGCAATGTTCCTAAAGAGCCGTTCTCTCTGGACCACCACAGGGCGTCCTCCTGCCAAGTGAAAGTGGGATACGGAAATGGAACAGATCGCTCTTCCCAGACTCAAACACGGAAATAAAGGTCGATTAGAAAATAGCATACATTTCTGAGAAAAGACACATGCCAGAGATCACCTGAGCTATCCACCACCACTTTGGACATTGACCTCAGATTCCTCTCCACATTCAGCAGTTAAAAGGCAATCATGTTATAACACAGACACACAACCCACCCACCCCCACATGCACACATCCACCCATATCCCTACCCCCAAACACCCAGACTCATCCCCACCCACCCACCCAAATACACATGCCCACCCCACACCCACCTACCCACCACCCTACCTACCCACATACACAGCCCACCTCCCAACAACTCACCCCTGCCCCTCCCTCACATGCCCCCACCCATCCACCCCCACCCACCCTTCTGCACAAAAGCAAAGAACAAAGCGCCGACTGCCTACGGTGGAGTCAAGACAGAACCCAGCCTCCTGCTCTGCATTCCCTACAGCTTACTAAAGCCCATTGCAGTGGAGACTGCAGATCACACTTCACAGGGATCGGTCAAGGGGAGCTCAGCCCATGAGACTGAAACAGAGAAGCCTCCGAGGTCTGTCCCAGATGGCTAGATATTCTAGCAGAAAATAAGAGGAGTGACCACTCTGGAATCTTCCCATCTCCTGATACTTGACAAGTCTCATGTGAGACACTAAAAAAGCCTAATAAAAGAAACTACCCCATAAATAAACTACTTGCCTCAAGGGGGGTAGGAGGTGCAAAACCAAAATGCCCTGAACTAAAATAGACTGAAATTTGTCAGAATTTGACCATTTTCCCTACCTCACCCCAGCTACTGTTTGCTATTTGATTCCTTAGCCACGAGGAACCATGCACCATGTACAGCTATGAGATTAATCCAAGGGAAAGGACAGCTGCAGAAAATGCTGACAAAACCAAGACTAACCTTGGAGCTCACTGACCAACACCAGACATTTTAAGATGGCAGGAAGGAGTAGCTCAAGGTCGCAAACACCCATGCTAGTGTCCTTGAAGAGCTGGAGGATGAAGGCCAGTATGGGTGCTAATCGAGAAGGAGGCAAGGACCCTTTAAACTCAAGATAAGATTTCCTGAAAAGAAGCAAATTTTATTTTACTCCTCTTCTATTTCAAGCTTCAACCGAACAGAATCAAATGCCATTCATGTTAAAGATACTGGAAAAATTTATTCCCTAAATAAAGTACAGTTTTGAAAGAATGTATACTTACCGTGCTATCTTTAAAGAGCATTTTGGTGTGCCGTGTGCTCTAAAACCTAGTACAGACATAAAATTTAAAGCAACCTGGTTTTAAAACGAACGTACCAAACCTAACTGCTAATGTGTTTTCCCCTTTCTCATGGATGCCTCATATCCCTTATGAGTTTTACCAGGAATCAACATTTCTTCTAATGTCAAACTTGCATAAAGGAATCTCCCCTCACATTTATTGACTTAGAATTTAGGAAGGGTCTTAGGTTTCTAAGTAAATAAAAAGACTATCCTAGGGATTAGCTTTCCAGTTCTAGCTTTCTTTCCTCCACTAGGAACTTCTAAGGAACTATCATCAGTCAGGGCACAATAAACTGTGAGTTCAAATTCAACAGTGACTGATCCATCTCACTCAACCACACAGACTGGCCCTGGTCACTGTAGAGTCAAAATGAATAAGCATGAAAGTGTTGAGTTTCTTTAGAAAACCTAGACTACATAAAAATTGGCCAGAAAATTCCTTAACACCTCCCCACTGTATTCTTAATTTTATTGGTGCTTGGGATGAACTTAGAACCTTGTACTTGGTAGGTAAGCTTCCTACTAGAGGTACATTCCCAGATACTAGTCAGTCAAAATTGATACATGTATCTGAATGAACACTAACAGTATACAACAGAAAACACTAGTGTTTATAAACTCATTTGAGGAACTCCATCAATCACTTTGTTTCCTGCACACAGTGACCCCCCACAAATTTAACATCCTAGATATAACCACACTATCTGAGACAGTCTTTGTTTTGGTTTGCTCTGTGCATTGATGAAAGGATTAATGCCCCAGATAAACATTTATTTGGCTCATATGGAACACCAGGAGCAAATGTAAAAATAAGCATATACAAGTAGGTAAAAAAGAACAAACAACAGACTCGTCATTATCTTGCAGAGAAGTTACATGTGACAAAACAAAACAAAAACAAAAACAAACAAACAAACAAAAAAACCACAAGGCAATTTTAATATATGCCTGGTGCTTTGACAAAAAACTGTCACAGAATTGTCAGGAATTCTGAGGAAGCCTAACTCAAACAGATCACACAGTAGAAAAGACAGAATG